TTATATTAATTATAAACTGCTTGGCAGAGGGCTCAGGCTTCTTATTTGACTAGCTCGTTCTTAATTATTAACTCATTTCTATTTCTCTGCATATCTCCATTTTGTCCTGGCTTACCAGTGATTCCCAGTCCTCTTGCTCCCTTGGCAGCTACATGGTGTCTCCCTGGCATCTCCTCTCTGCCTTCTTCTTGCCAGAATTCTCCTAGTGTGGTAGCCCTGCCTATACTTCCTTCCTGGGTACTGGCCAATCAGCATTTATCCATCAACCAATAAGAGAAACACATATTCACAACATACAGAAGGACTTCTTATCAACTCATAGATCAATGCCTTGCTCAGCCGTCGCCAGAGAAGTTTCCTTCTGCAGTAGATGGGAACACATGCAGACACACACAGCTGGAAAATGTGCAGAGAGAGAGACCTTGGAACACCCAGTCCTAAATGGGATGTCTCCATCAAGTCCTTGCCCTCAGGACTCAGGGAACTCTGTGGAAGATGAGGCAAATAGGACGTAAGAACACAACCAATGTACATAGTCTCTGAGAGCACTATGAATTCCCAGAGACTAGGCAGCATGCTCAGGGCCTGCACTGGTCTGCCTTAGATCGGGTCCTAGAACTGAGAGGAGAAGTGGACACATGTCTCCAACCCTAACTCAGATGCTATCTCCAGTTGATAGCCACTTGCAAATGAGAAATTGGGAGTCTCACTGGGGAAACACATTACTTTCCAGGGTAGGCCCCATGCTCAACACAAAATGAATTCAGTGACATCTTTAGAGGCTCTTTGTCTCAGAACATTGTGTTAGAACCATTTTTTTTGCCTTATAGACTTTGATATACCGTATGGCTTCCAATTTTGTATTTTTATAGGATTACTGTATTGTGAACATGTGAGTCTCTGCATCTGTGTGTGTTTCTCATGGTTTTCCTTTGGCTCGTTTTCTTCTGTTTGTTTTGTCCCATTCCAATTTGTTTATTATTATTATTATTATTATTATTATTTGGATGCCTGTTTATTTTTTAACAAGAAACAGAAAGGGTATAGATCAGAATGGGAGGAGATCATGGAAGAAACTGGAAAGTGTTGTAGGTGTTAGTATTCAGGCATCTGTGCTGGCCTGCCCTTGGGGTTCTGACAGGATACATCCTCAGTTGCAGCCACTAAGAGCACCACCTGTGCACATTCACTACGTTCCCTTTTAAAAAAGAGCCCTGACCACCTCCCCCCTTCTCTCTCTCTCTCTGCCTGTCTTTCATACCCCATCTGGCCCCTCTTCTCTTCCACTGCCCCTGTCCCCAGAAGCTGATCTCCCTCCTCCCCTCCCTCCTCTTCCCCTAATAAAAAACCCTCCATGTGAGCTCTTTCACATGGTGTTTTTCTCACTCATTCTACTTTTTAAATTACAGCAGGGGGAGGGAAAACCATAATCCGAATATAGTATATGAAAAAACTGTCTTTATTAAAAGAAAAACTTAACATAATCATACTATAAGACGATATGTGTACTTGAAATAGCTGTGTGTGTGATTTATACTAAAATACAGTGAATAAGGATTTGATGTCATATATAGTCTATGTATAATATTTTCTGTGCACAGCAGCACTGAATCACACAGAGCAGCTGAAGTATCATCACAGGGTCAGGGGAGAGATATACCTGGGGAAGCTCGAGCTGTTAGCAATATTTCAGGGAACATTGTATATTTATACAAGTTTATAGACATGTTCTTTTGAATACTTTTTCTTTTTTGGTTTTCTTTCTATAGGATTCTGAAGGCATTATCAAGAAATGCAGGGCCAGGGGCTCTGTTTGATTTCATGTCACTAAATTTCACTTTGTGAAGTCTCAAGCTGAGAATGAAGTTTAAATTTGGTTTGTGAAATTGTTCAATACCAGAGAATTGCTCCTACCATTCATTCAAAGTGAGGCCCACGGGGCCTGGGAGTGCCACGCAGCCCTCAGCCAACTTCTTGTTTTTTTTTTCTCCCCTATCTGCAATCCCCTACCTGGGAATACCTGTTCTGAAGGGTAGAGAAAGGTGTGGGCCTTGGGTTTATTGCAATAGAAAGCCACAGTCTCAAGAAAGTACAGGTCTCAGTGCCAGGTCTGCTGTGTCCTGACTGGCTGTGGCAAATGGGACCAACCATTGGTTGCATGGCCTTGTAAGTGGAAGGAGATCTCAGCATGCTCTGTCTGCAGCTGGAGGGGTGGGGTGGGCCATCACAAACCCAGGGTTAGCTTCGCAGGTAATTCTTTGCAGAATTACCCACGTGTCCAAAGCTAGAGATGGAGGAACAGTGGGAAGAAACACGCCCTTGCCCGGACACTGAGTAGGTCTTCATGGAATTCTAGACCTGCCTCTCAGGGATGCGCAGGAAGAGAGGAGATGGCTCAGGAGAGGACTGGAGCCTCTGGGACAATGCCCACATCCTTGCCACACAGAGCTGGCTTCAGTTGTGTTTGGTGGTGTTGAGAGCTACCAGAGGGACATCTCTTTCTCAGTCCATTCTGTCCTACAACTCTAACTTCCAGGATTTATGAGTATGTCCACTGCCAAAACTTTCAGCCAGTCTTAAATGCAGAGCCTTGTTAATGGTTACTACTGCAAGGTGCATGCTTGATGTCAGGGCCTGCAGATATTGCATAGCTTTGAGGGGGAGGGTCACAGTGTATACCTGGGCACCATGGCCCACTGTCCAGTGGGGCTTGGATGAGGAAGAAACTGTGGTGGTTTGAAAGAAAATGGCCCCCAAAGAGAGTGTCACTGCTAGGAGGTATGACTTTGTTAGGGTTGAAGTGGTTTTGTTGAAGGAACTTTGTCACTGTGGGGTAGGCTTTGGGGTCTCATATACGGTCAAGCCACACCCAGTGTCTCAGTCCACTCCCTGTTACCTTCGGATCAAGATGAGGCCAGCACCATGTCTGCCTACACCGTACCCCCTGCCATGATGATAATGGACCAACCTCTTAACTGTAGGCTATCACCTCAGTTAAATGTTTTCCTTTCTAAGAGTTAGAATGGCCATGGTGTCTCTTCACAGCAATAGAAACCCTAACTAAGACAGAAGCTAAACTAAGGTGGCACATGTGAGACCTCTGAGTGTCCATCATCCACTGCAGACCCATTTTCTGGGCTGTCATCAGAGTGAAGGCACTTGAGTTAGAGAGCACAGTCTGTCCCCGCTGACCTGCTCATCCTCTCATGAGTGATCACAGAACATGTGTGTGGATCTGTCTTTGTGCTGCAGGCTGAGCCATAAACAGGGTACCAAGTTCTGTGAATGGGGGGGCGGCCACTGGCGACAGAGGAGCAGAAAATGGACATCTGTATCTTTATCCATCATGGAGTCTCAGGAAGTAGCTAGAGAACTGGGTGAGAATATTGCACAAAAGATAAGAAGCTATTCATAAAATGATAGAAAGCAAGTCTATGTAGTGAACCAGCAAGGCCAAGTCACTGAAAAGTTTTCGCTTGTGGAAAGTCATGGCAAGTGTAGGTTGGGCAGATGGCTAAAGGGTTGAGTGAATAAAACAGCCAACTTATTCTGGGGGACTGAAGCCCATTAGTTAATGGGCTTTGAGAGTGGTTGCCAGCATATCTCATATACCCTTCCCCCTACTTGAGTTGCTTGCAGACCTCTGTTTTCCTCAAGGCTGCTCATCTGCTTTACAGACAAAGACGTGTTTAGGTCCCTGCAGCAATAGGTTCATCGAGGCCGTTGAGGTCCTGATGACACTTGACCACAACATCCCAATTGTCTACTCCCTTGCTGGTGGGCTGCCCAGTGCTTGCTGACAAGGAGGCCTGAGGGAGCTCCCACATCTGCGGCTACCTTGATCCCCTTAGCTGGGCTTCAGCCTGTACCCAAGAGGAATGGAGAGTCGACAGTCCTCCAGTTGCAGATGCCCAGTGGCTGGAAACACTCTGAGCAGATTGCTCTCACTGCTCAACTGGTATAGGGGTAGAGGAGCTGTAGTTGCTGTGGCCTCCAGATGCCTGACAGGTAGCACCACTCTGCCTTGGGGGTCCAAAGATGAGGATTAGAAGAGTAGATGCTATGAAATCTGGACTCTGTGGGCTTGGGACATGCAGAGCCTCTGGACTGGGATCCACCACCATGCAATACTGGGATTTGAGAGCATGGCTCTGCCATCGACTTACCCCTTAACTCTTCCTTTTCATAAGTGATTCAGTTTATACTGCATGACTTCTCCTCTGTAGACATAAACCTTCTGCTTCTTCACCCAGTGATCTGCTGATGGACTCTAGCTGATTCCTGTCTTAGTTAATAGGAGGGACAATGGCGTAACCCTGGGAGAACGTTTCTCCTTAATATTTCGTTGCCAGTTCTTTGGAATATATCCCCAGAGTGGGAGTGCTGGCATGGAAGACCGTTCTATTTTTAACTGTTTGAAGCCGTTCCCTCCTGTTTTGCCTTGCACTACATCCTTTAGCAACAGTGTGCAGGGCTCCAGGATCCCCTCCCTCCACAACACCTGCATGTTATCTCCTAAAATAGTTACCCCACTGTGGTTGGAATCTTTGTTTACCTGTTCCCCGATGGCCAGTGATGGTGAGCACGCATGAGCGCGTGTGTGTGTGTGTGTGTGTGTGTGTGTGTGTGTGAGCACATGCACGTGTACACATGTGTGTATGCATTACAGGTGTGAATGCTCATGTATATAGAAGCCAAAAGTAGGCTTTAGGTGTTGTGCCTCAGGCACTGTATATATATATATATATATATTTTTTTTTTTGGAGACAATCTCTCACTGGCTCAGAATTCATTGATTAGACTAGGTTGGCTGGCCAGTGAGGTCTAGAATCCCCCTATCTCAGCCTTTCCCATGTTAAGATTACCAGTGAATGCTACCATGGTGTTTTTAACGAGGCTTTGGGATCGTCTGCTTATAAGGCAAACACTTGCCTGAGCCCACCTGCCCAACCTCTTCATTTTCCTCTTTGAGCAAAGAAAGAGGGGCACACACAAGGATGCATGGGATGAGTGTTTTCTACAAGTGACATTTCTGGTGAAGGATGACTCCGGTAGGGGAGATTGTAATCGCTTTTGATGGCCTTTTGACCAGGTATGTTCAAGGGAGATTTTGGGATGAGACCATCTGCCCTCTTCAGCACCGAGAGTCTTTAGGCGAGAGAGGCTGTCTGCACAAAACTCAGGGACACGTGTCTGTCCTCCTGGAAGAGTCAGTCAGTGAGTGAGGACAGACCGTCCACCGAGTGCATCCGGTCACTGCACCTAGACTCACCATCTGCTCAGTGTTCTACCAGAGGGGATTTCTCACCCTGGTGAAAAGGGAAACATCTGTGAGTTGCTAATGTCAGTCAAACATCACATCACAATGCACAAGAAAAACAGAAACCAAGGAGGTGTGTATAGCACGGCGGTAGAGACAACAGGGCCTGTGCACCTCGGTGAACTTACTACTTTGACCTGGGACTGAGACTCACATTCTCTTGCCTCTGAGACGGGCATGGTAAGGGGGGCAAGGATGCCTCAGTGTTGCTCCTTCCTCAGCCACGAGAAACTGGGTATGGAGTGAGCTCCTTGCCTCTCTGAGATCCCTGTCACCCTTCGCTCAGGTGTGGTCGTCCCAGGGCCAATTGATGGATGCATCGTTGTACTTGGCGATCCTCATCATACGTGTGGATCACTAACCAGTGTTTAGAAAAGGCAGCGCTTCCCGGATGGGAGGGAAGGCCGGGGCGTCTGGGGCAGGTAAAGCGCAGGGTTTGTTACTTTAATGCAGCAGAACGTGAAGTCTAGCAACGTGAGGGGAGACGGTATTGGGGTTGGGAGGAAGGGAGGCATTTTCTGTGCAGCAAGGCGTCTGTGGGGCTCCTGGACCTTTCCTCCCACTCCTCTTGTCCCCTCCCCCCAGGAGAACTGCTTTTTTAATAACATGCCCCCACACACACCTTTGCCTTAATTGTGCCAGAGGCACCATCTCACCCCCTCCCACTTGTCAATCATGGCACTCTGGGAGGACAAGTCACTCCCTGCCTTCTAAGCCTGTCCTGCATGAGGAGGGAGTGTGGCTCACAGACATATCCCTTGTCCCATGTGTCCATCATGCCTTCTTGGATTTCCGAAGAGAATCATAAATCCAGCAACATTTCTGTCCTCTCTTTGCTTGCTGGTGGTTGCTGAACTGGTCCTAACAACAGGGTCTCTCAGCTACGTTAAGGATGGGCAGTTTCATTGTGTGTAGAGTCAATATCTTGGCCCAGAAGTCAAGGTTCACTAAGCATTTCTAAGCATCTGCTTTGTCCTCAGTCTCCCCATCTGTAAAATAGGGTCAACATACCCTCACAGTGAGAATGCAGCAGGCTAGGGAACATCCTACACAGCATCTCAGATATAGAAATGACCAAAAAATAGCTGCCCGTGAGCAGAACTTGGAGGATGTGAGCACAGAACCCAAAGCCAGGGCTTCCGGTACCTTCAGATCCTGGCTGAACATGTTGGGGAATCCCAACATTTCTTTTGCCAAGAGAAAGCTGGAAGACAATCTTGGTGTGTAGTCCTCAGATAAACCCAGTACTTCTTTGCAGAGCCCAGAAAGCAATGAGTTTGAATGTTCCCCACCACAGCCATCTGGCCACCCTGGCATCCAAGATTAGGAAAGCAGTTGGGGAAGATATTTCCTACTGTCTAACCTGGGTTTACTATGCAGGCCTGTGACACAGCACGGGTCTTAAGAATGCTTATAGACAGCAAGTGTCAATGACATAGGTACGGAAGGCATTTGAAGTAAAGGTTCATGGGTTCATGTACCTTCACAGATAGAACACAACCGGTGAAGCCATAAAGCACCTTCCCTATGTTGGTACCCTGAAGTTGTTGGATTCACTCAGCTCTCCATGATCGACTTCTGTGGGCCAAGGAGGGGAGTTCAACTGCAATTCAAAAGGGCATCCCCACTTTGTCCAGAAGTCAGGGCTCACATTTCTCACACATCCTAGTATCCTAGAGTTCTGCTTCTGAAAAAGACTCCCTTTAGGATCATTAAGAAACCAAGCGAGGTTCTACAGACTGGGGAGGTCACAACCATGGCTTTGTCAACAACCAGGATGTAGGCCCTGCCATGGGTCTGAGCACAGGCAGACTGTATGGATGCTGTCTTTCACCTGGACCCATGCAGTTATTGGCTTAAACTGTCCGCTGGCTGTCAGTAAAAACCCAAGCCTTCTTTAGGGCTCAAATCCTGCCATAGGTCAGTGGCTCCATGCTATCTCACAGTAGAATTGGCACAGGAAGCTGAGCTTGACTTTGAAGCTGTGGCCTGGACTATCTGATCAGTAGAAAAGCAACTCTGAATCCTGAAGATGTGCACCAGCAGCCTAGAAGGCCACTGTGCTAAATGTCATCCATTGTCATGTAAAGCATCCTTCAAAATCACTACACTGGACTTGGAAACTGAAGGAATTTGTAGATAAATATGTGAGCTCTACAAAGTGACACACTTTTTGAATCTAAATTAAGTCAAAGGGCAGAAATGTAATCCTTGTAAGAGCTTAGGTTGGGTGCTACCTAGCTGGCAATGTCCTTCAGGTAGTTTTCTTTCCTTTAAATGACACCAATGTCTACAGCGAGTTCATGCGTGTGAGAATCCTTATTTCATATAACCCTTCTGTGACTAGGAGAATATGATGGTGCTTCTTTAGACCCCTCGACTACTTTGTAATGTATCCATTGATCACCTCCTAGTCCAATGGGACCCACAGAGTCACTGATACTCTCCCAGTCCTTCCAGAGTCTTGAACACCCTGACTGTGTAACTGAATATTCAGAGTCAAGTTCCCAGGTGACATGCCCTCCTGGGTAGAGTGCTACTGTTGTATGGAGTCAACAGTCTGTGGAACTCAGGTGGTGTTGAGCCAGTCACGGAGTATCCTTGCTTGTGGCTTTGACCGTACATCAGGGATGCACCTGCCTGTTGGTATCCTCAACCTCTACAGAGAAGTTCAAATTCTTGGGGAGAAGAATAAAATGTAATATGATTATATGGACTATCTCTTCCCTTTTGCTGTGGACTATTAGGTCATCTCAAATGCATCTTTTAATGTCAAATTTTGGTGAAGGCCAAAGGACCTTTGCATTAGCGTGGTATGTCAGAGTTTTAGTTTTCATGGGGGCAGATTGAGTTTCTCCAATGGGCTGAGAAGGAGAATGCCAACTTGGAGATCAGATCACATTCCTTCTGTTGAATAGCAATTGAGAACAGTCTTGCTTTCCAGCCTTGCTGTCCTTACCATTTTTATCCTGGTAAACATGTTTGTCTTTGGTAAATATATTTATGTATATTTTTCCTACTTAGTATGTATATAGCTCATTTCTCAAAAAATGCATATGACCGTTTTTCACATCAAGTCAAATCTGGCAGTGTTCTCGGAGAGTTTGTTTTAGTAGTTAGAATTTCATGATGCCTTCCCTACATCTTTCTCACTCCTTCCTGTTTTCTCCCTCCCCCTCCCCCTGTTCCTCCTCCTGCTACCTTCCCCTCCTCTTCTGAGGAGATCTCTTTTCAGGTTTCATTCAGTCTTCAAAACACCATTTCTCTTATTTTCCCTAACCGGCAGTTTCTTTCAGATTTGATGGTAAAGATTTGTCAGGTTCTAAATTGAATTGGATGAGCCCAGGGATGCCTACATTGCTAGCTATTGAGAACAGGGCCCTGCAGGGAGTTTTTTTCTGAGGTTGGCAAGACAGATAGAGACCCACAGATTCAGTTAACATAATCACGTACCTTGAAATCATTATACAGGCTGGCTTGAGGGTCACTGAATCTTCTAATATATTTAAATAACGGCACAAACTTTTCTCTCTGAGCTGTTATAGAGCTCAGAAAAAGGCATTGGCTCTGAAGGATCATCAGACCCCCAGTGTGAACGGCAGACCCAAAGGTGCCTCCATTGAGCTTTGTCTACAGCAATTTAAACTGAACATGACTTTTGTGTTCCCAAGTGTAAAGAAAAAACACCAGACAATGAGTCACATTCACCTAAAACTTACACGGTAGCTCATTGTTTCATTTGTGGATGCTTACTGGGTGACTTGAATTTTCTGGACCACAGCCTGTGTTATTCCTAGAGCCCTCTTGCCATAGGAGCAGGCAGGACACAGAAGCACCAAACGTATCTAGGAACAGTGAATACTACATCTATATCCCATGGGAGATGACTTTTATCATTGAAGATTCTGGAAGAAAAGCATTAATGAGTATCAGTCATACAAAAGCATGGGAAGGTGGAATGCATGACCTTCAAGCTTTCCAGAGTAGCTAAGAGATTATTATCCTTAAAGGAAACAGTGACAGAAATATCTCATGTGTGCCCGTGGGCCTGCAGTGTCTGTGACCTCTCCATGTCCCCTCTACGTGCGTCTGGAACTCACCTGGAGTAATGTATCCCTTTGCCCTGAACACTCATTAACATCCACTAACATGACTTCCAGGGCCAACATCATCCTCTTAGCATCCGGCTCTGTGCTTTTGCCTGAATATCATGTCTTATAAGAAGAAATTTCTTCCCTCTAAACACATTTGAGTAAGGAGTGTTCCCAAGTAGATGCTCAACAAGACAGTGTTACTTTTCTTGCCCTTTCTAGAGACAGGACCATGGCACATTATGACAACACATTCTATTCCTGGATTTCCTATGGAAGACTAGAGGTGGGCACATACATCTAGGATGGATCTCCCATGAAATACCTGTGGTGCAAGCCCTGTGAATATCAATTCAGTCCACATACAATATAGCAGAAGCAGCTGTTTCTATTCTGAGCCTAAACTGAAGATAATGACAGGAGGAGCCAGTGGTTGGTTGGTCATGGTGTCATCTTAGGATGAGAAGAGAATCAATGGTGAGTGTTCAAGACTAGTAGACCGGATAGAGTTGGCTTGAATTTGAACAAGAGTGTCCGAGTGAGCCACCTCCAGTGTGGATGACTGTGGCAGGGCACAGCCTTCATCACTTTATACCTCCATTCTAAGTAAACAAAATAATTTTAATAATAGTAATATCCTTTCCCACAAGTAAAAATGCATTTAGTTGGAGGCAGGGAAAGGTAGACAAGCAAGAGACCACATTTCATGCCATCTGGGTGCACAGGTGAATGCATTTCCCTGAAAGGAGGGGGAGGGGAGGAAGTTAGATTCCCAGTGCTTAGATACCGCTCCGAGCATCATCACTCTCTGGACAGGGGATGATGTAAGGAAAGAGAAGCACCCTGGTCATAGCTGTCAGAATCCCTTTTGAGAAAACAACTGGGGGCTCTGAGCAATGATAGTGGGCATTCCAGAAAGCAGGAGGGATGCATTTTCAGGGGAGCTTGAGGAGGAGGCATGGCTGGAGTCCTGGACTCCTGCCTATCATGAAGGCATTTTCCACTGACCAGTACTGAGCTCCTAAAACTCACCTAGAGGATACAGCTGACCCTAGGCAGGTTAGATGAGCAAGGGTCACAGACCTCTTCCTACTCATCTGACCTCAAGGGACACAGCTATATTCTAGAACCTTCCTTCATTGGCCCAATGAAAGAAGAATAGCACCATATATATATATATATATATATATATATATATATATATATATATGCCAATATTGTGAAATGCATGCGTTGAATTACTCTCTTTCAAATGTTCATACTCACACTATCCACTTACCGCATCACAGCATCAGAGCTAGTTATTTTCAAAGAGCTGGCAGTGTAGTCTTTATCTGTTTTGGATCAATCAATGCTGGAAGTAAACCATGAAGATACAATGTATGTTACTATGTTAAAAACATGAGGAAAATGATGGCAAGCTGGCCTGTGCATGTGCTCAGGGAATGGTGGCCACTGGAAATGCTTGCACTTTGAAAATTCTGTTAACACTCAGAGCAGTGTGTCTCAGTAACCGCAGATCAAAGTCAACTCAGAATTCTATTTCATGGGCCTGTGTGACATTATAGTTAGAATTTTGACTTAAATTTTCCTTTAAAAAATAAAACCTGATTAAACCTTAAAGGCAATTTTTTTGCTCTTCTGGAACCTGGGAAAGTACTGCTATTAACATTTGAAGCTTTAATGCTAAGGAAATGTCAAAAATCCCAAGGGGACACAATGGTGGTACCACTATCAGGGACACCTTCCAGAGGTCCTGCCTCATGGACATCTTGTGAGTCCAACTGAATTTTACATTTCTTAAAAGCTGACTAAGCCATCCTGTTTGTGATTTGTGGACACAGTTGGGTTTGGTGTGGACACGTTTCCCCACAGTGCACAGTCACGTGTGCTTTCTTATGTGTTGGTAGTAGTGAGAAGGAGCATACCCACCACCAACAGGCACACCAAATCAGGAGCAGCCAAGAACCATGGACAGGAGTATGGAATCCCCTAAGACACTGACCACTAACCTTCATTTGAGAAGTAAAGTAATAACAGAGCTGGCCATAGTGTGCTGTTGACAGTCGCAACCCACCTTCATCCCTGTGCACCATGTGGAACTCTTTGCACTGGCTACATGAATGAATAAGGAAAAAATAAGGTTGGCATAGCATAAACTTTTAATCAACTGACAACCATAAACTCATAGCTTTGATTTATAAAGGACTACTTGGAAAAGTGGGGTTTTGGGTGGTGTGAATATTAATGTTGTATTTGTGATTGTATATATTCACTTATTTTTGATCATTCCTATTCAAAAACAAAATCCTAGGCACGCTAGCATTTATTCGGAAGACCACATCCAAGAAGACACAAACCAAGAGTAGTGGGACCATCAGTAAAGGCCAGGCTGCCTGGCACAAGCCAAGCCTTGAGGCTTGGCTCCTAGCCAGAGTAGGGGTGTCAGGGTTCCAGTCTGTGATTCGTAGTAGCCTCGAGATAGCTTTGGATACTGTACTTTCTGTGACTCAGGTACATTTAGTCTCAGGACAAGAAGGGAATGCATCCCCGAGTTTCCGTGAAAGACTAAAGTACACAGCAGCATGACTGGTGGGCATGGCAGCCAATTGCCCCCCATCCCTCAGAGTAACCATCTCTGGGTTAAGGACAAGAACTGAGTATGTAGGTAGATTCTACAAAAGGGAGATTGGAGATGAGGAAAGGGACTAGTTGAGCACCACAGGCTGCCTTCCTGAGCAAGTTCCCAGGAACAGGTCCTGATGAGGTCCTAGCTTGCTTGACTGCCCTCTCCAGGTTTTTTGGTGTCTCATCCCTTTTCTATTGCTGTGGTAAAATACTGTGGCAAAAGCAATGTAAGGAGGAAAAGGTTTGCTTTCACTTCCACGTCTGTGTTACGGTCTATCACAACATCAGGACCCGGGGGAGCAGGTTACATCCAATTCTTAATGGGGAGCAGAGAGCAATGAGTGTTCGCTCTCCTCATCTTCTCTACTTTATAGTCTAGGATCTCCTGTCTGGGGAACACTTCTGCCCACAATTAAAATAGGTCTTCCCACATCAATTAATATGAAGCATGATAATCTTGTACAAGTGTACCCAGAAGCCTCCTCTCCAATGATCCTAGATTTTGTCAGGTTGACGACGAACGGCAACCATCACACTTGTCATCTTGAGGCATCCTTGTGTTTACTTTAATGGCTTAAGAAACATGAGATGTGCTCATATCAGAAAAGAATGAAAAGCAGCAATGCAAACCGCACAAAGAGGCTTAGACTTTTCACTTGTGCCCTGATGTCCAAGAAGCCCTGTTGGTAATGTCTGCTGAGATCCTTGAGTGTGTCTTAGATACAGGAAGAAGCTGAGTCAGCTTGAGGCACTGAGACAAGATACTCAGAGTCCAGAGGTTGGAACCCTAATAGATTTGGCGCCTGGGAAGGACTGTGTTCTGCCTGCTTTGGTGCCACCATCACTCAATGTTCCTTCATGGAAAAGAGTAGGCTGTGGGTCTCAGGGCACTGATCTCACCTCGGAGCCTAAATTCAATCCCTTGTATTATACTGTCACTCCCCTGAGCTCTCGTCTATACACAACTGACCCTGAGGTTGGGGCTTTAGCATATGAACTTGGGGGCACAAACATTTCTTCCACAAAAGTGATGCCTCTCTCAGTAGACTGGTATCAGTTGGAGGCAGCAGCAAGGGTCCCTTATTCAAGCTTTTCCTTTGATCTCTAGCCTTTTCTTTATCGAGGATGTGCTCTGAATTCCACGCGTTTTCAAGAACACCTTTGGGGGGGGCATGCACTGGGGCTCACATGCACATAAATGAGGCTGGAGCGCGGTCTTGGTTGTCGTTCCTCAGGCAGCCTCCACACTGTTCTTTGAAACAGGTTCTCACGTCCTGCAGAAGCTCACCGGTAGAGCCACACTGCTGGCTGGTGAACCTCATTGGTCTGTCTATCTCTGCCTCCCCACCGCACTGATCATTTCTTTATGTGAGTCCTGGAGGCCAAACTCAGGCACCAAGATTACAAGGCCAACCTTTGCCAGTTGAGCCATTTCCCCAACCAAGAACAACTCCTTTCTTCCTTAAGCTGTATTTTGTTTCAGGGCCTCTCTTTGTGGTCTTGCCTGCCGTAGAACTTATCTAGACTAGGCTGGCTTTGAACTTGCAGTTCCTCCTCTCTCTGTGTCCTGAATGCTGGGATTAAAGACATGTGCTGCCATGCCTGGCAAGGAGAACTCTTATAAGACATCCCCCTCATTTGTTAATCAGACAGAAGCATCCTTTTTTTGTTGTTGTTGTTTAATTATAAGTCACCCTGTGTCTGGAGTGGACTTGGTAGGTTCTTTAACAACCCATTTTAAGCCTGGCGAATACTGTGTTTGGAAATTTTGTGTCACAGTGAGATTGTTGTCAACTTAGGAGTGTCCATGACAGCTATAGAGAGTACTGGCCTTATTTCATTTGAATAATCTAGTAAAAGATGCCTCTGTCACCACCAGTGGAGGGGTAGGGACAGGGCTTTCCTTAAGGGGCAGTGGCTTCCACATCACATGATCATGGCTAAACAGCCCGTATTGGTGTGGAAAGCTCCTACGGAAACTTAACAGAGGTGAATTACAAACTTAGGATGTTTTTCACAACTAAGTGTTAAACTCTGTAGATAACCGTTCCTTTTTTTTTTTTCAAACTTCCATTTTCTTGTTGGTGGTTTACAAGTTCAGTGTCTCACTTTCTTTGTACTAACAACAACAACAACAAAAAAACCCTCAGCCTCCTAAACCACTGCCTTGAGCTCATGATGGATGAACAGGGGAAGGAATCGTTGACTCAAGGATGCTCACCTGCCTTGTGGAAAAAGGAGGCAGGGGAAGTGCTAGTTACCAGAACTAACTGCTGTATCTCCTTGGTGATATGTGCTTGAGTAGCAGGGCATCTTTCTTAAGACAGGAAATCTGGAGCCGGGCTGTGGTGGCACACGCCTTTAATTCCAGTTCTTGGGAGGCAGAGGCAGGCGGATCTCTGTGAGTTCGAGACCAGCCTGGTCTACAAGAGCAAGTTCCAGGACAGGTACCAAAACAATACAGAGAAACCCTGTCTCAAAAAAGCAAAACAAAACAAAACTGGGAATCTGTACTCAGGTGTTTATTAAATCATGCTGAACATTTATAGGAGAAACCATCAAGAGAAATGCATTAACCAAAAGCATTTAGTATTGCGCCTAATAGAGTATTATATTCTGAGATAAATAAAGTCCAACTTTATGTAGAACAGATTGTTTTACCTAAATATGAGCTTAAGTAGGGATTAGAAAAGGGCTAGATCCCAAAATTTTAGCCAACGAGTCATATAATTAGGAGTCAAATTTTATCTCAGCATCAATTTCTAGTTCAGCCAGCATCACAAATATTAGAGATTAATGTCAACTGTACTAATGTACATAAAGCAATTTAGAGCAATCTGGAAATAGGATTAGAAGAGGTAGGAGTTTGATTAACCTCTAATGTGATTTTTAGGCTCAGATAATCTTCTGATGACATGATTATTCTCAGTCACTGGAAGTCCCCTCCTCTGACTGATGACTTAAGCACTCTCATCTGTTGGGACATTCGAAAGTTTCCTGTACAGTTCTGTTGCTAGCACCGTCCATGAAAATTTACAAGCACAGGTGCTGCTTCCGGAGATAGCAGTGGAGTACTTGATGCGGTTTTGTACGAAGTGAGGTCAGGCTGTGTTTTCTAGGGCACATAAGCAAAACATTCTGCCCAAAACCAGTTTAAAACATTAATGAGCAGCTCCAGGAGCATACACCCGAAGACAGAAGTGAGGACAGCTAACCCACAGCTGTCCAGGCTGATCTGGCTGGGAGAGCTAGAAGTGATTTTATAAGCTGGGTAGACATAATGCACCCACATGCTCCTACCTTTAGCTTTGGGGAACCTGTTTTATTTCGCTGGTTTTCTAATAATGGACTATAAAAGGAGCATCAAGATGCTGCAGAAAATGAAAATCACACGTCTTGGTCTGAGACATCCTGCTGTCATTGCTCTCTTCCCACACTGCTGGGGTTCCCGTGTAAGCATGGCGGGTGCCATTTTGAGGATGTGGTTTGAGGAAGGCACCTCTCTCCATAGCATAGGCTTATCTCCACAGGAGCGGCCCCTTCAGAGACACTATTAGCCAGCCATATCCCTGCTAGAAAGGCTCACACAGAGATGGATGCTCACAAAGATGAAACAGTTAGAGAGAAAACCCTGCCAAGCGCTCTGGGAGCCAGCGAGAGGCATGGTGGGAAAGACTGTCAGTCATGTAATCTGAAGCAGTCACTCTTCAGAATTAAGAGACAAGATGAGGCTTGCCCTGTGGTTTGCCTGTTGCCACAGACAAAGGCTCAATGAGCCGTGTCCTTCCAGAGTCACATCCTGCTAGAGAATGTCATCCACTTCCTGTGCTTGAGGGATTTTCCCAAATTGCCGCCAGCCCAGGAATCAGCCCTTCTCTTGGCTGCAGGAAGGCATCCAGTTTAAAAGCAACAGATGTGTACTGAGGAGAACGGGGTAGCCTTATGTCCTGGCTGTTCACACTGTCTCCATTGCGCTGGGTCTCATGAGTCTGCATACAGGTTCTGGCCATCCTCTTTACAAGCTACATAGACCGCGCCAGCCAGACTAATGTCTGGTTCTGCCATGTATGCCCAGTTCTTTGACATTCTCATCTACAGAATATAACAAGCTTAATTGCTGTGCAACAAAGAAAAAAGAAAAAGCACCCCCCAAAATACTTTATAATATTTTAAGTAGGTTTACAATTTTATGTTAGGCGACATTCATAGACATCCTCGTGTGACCTCATGCAGCCCATGGAGCACAGGTTGGACACACCTGCAAGTCTAGGCAGTATGTACAGTACCCAGGAACCGTGCCTGACATCACCCGGCACCATATCTGGTTCTAGATAGTGTACATAGCACCCAGCACAGTATCTGCCTCTAGATCAGTGGTTCTTAACCTCTGGGTTGAGAGCAGGTTGATGTGCAGGATATCTGGTATTAGATATTTACATTACAATTCATAACAGCAACAAAATTACAGTTATGAAGTACCAATGAAATAATGTTATGGTTGGGGTCATCACGCCATGAGGAACTGTATTAAAGGGTTGGAACATTAGGAAGGTTGAGAACCACTGTTCTTGATGGTGTGGTTGCTACCCAGTTTGGTGCTGACTCTTGACAGTATGGATAGCCCCCGGCATGGTGTCTGGTGCACAGTAGGCCCTTGACTCTGAACAAACTTAAACCTACTATATCTCAAGTCATCTTATCTATTTCAGCAAGCCAAATACAATTCCCTCATGCTCTGTCCCACAGGGTATTCAGAAATTCTTCCCCGCTAGTTGGTCAGGGACCCTGAGTGTCCTTTAACACATGAATCAAGCTGGTGGCTGCTTAGGTATGATTCAACAACACCCACCCCACCCAACACATTCCTCCTCCAGAGGGATGGTCCCCATGGAGCCTGAATTCTAAACTTGTTCCCTGTCCTTCTAATGCATCTTCCATGGGGGAAGTCAGAGCCGTCCTGACTCAGTGAAGGCCATAGAGGAGACACTGTGAGCAGGGGGGCGGTGGATAGGACCAGGCTCGCCTGGCAAGGAAAGGATACTGGCAGCTGTGGTGGCCGCACCGTTGACACCCTGTTGTAATTAGTGAGCGGAAACTCTCCCACTGCTGCTGGACCAGCATTGCTTTATGGAGAAGCAGATTCCTGGGATGAACAAACCCTGCCTTTCATCAGACTACCCCACGTATGTCCCTAAAGGCCCAGAGGCCAATAGAGTGTTCCTTAGGTAAAAAGAAAAGAGGCCAGGAGATTATAGAAAATGTCAAAATTCATTCGATGCATAAAAGGAGACACTGGGATATTTAACTGTAAAAGAGACAGCTAAATAAAATTCCTAATGAATTCTGTCTTCAAGTGGAATCCCATTTTCTCTGTTTCCCAGTCTGGGAAGAAATCTGTTAATTTTTTCCTGCCTTTCTTGGCCTGCAGCAAAGGGTTAGGCTACAGTGGAGCCATGCCTGGTTGACTTGTTTGATCTCCGCTCTTCCTCGCTAGTCACAGTGTCCTGTGTGAGTAAACTTTCAGAGCGATCATTTCAAAAGTCACAGGCATTACCGGCAGCCTCCCGACTCACCACTCACTGACCTCCTGCAGCCTTTTGGTGCAACACTCACTGTGCATTAGGACTCGAGTTCCCTTCTGAGATCCTGGGTGCACAGGGCAAGGGAGTACATGCGCCGGGCTGATGCTGACTCCCTAGCTCTCTCTCCAGTTAGAGAAACCAGACATCATAATCACCACCTGGTCCATTCATGCTGTCATGACAACCAGCCGCTTACAAACAACTGGCATTTATCCCTCGTACTTCTGGAGGCTGATGTCCACAGTCAAGGTGTGGCTCTCAGTGCCCATTAAAGGAGGTCCCTGGATGGTGCCTTCTGCTTGGAGTCTCTTTTGGAAGGTCACTAATCCCATCATGAGTCTCTACCCTCATGACTTTATCATTGACCAAAGGTCAAGCTCCTAACGCTATTGCTTGGGGGGGATAAATATTTCTACACATGAATTTTAGGAACATAAAAAGTCAGTTCATAGATAACATGGAGATCTTAGTTTATAATTAAGTCTATTGCAGGGAGATGATTTTTCAAGGGGGTGATAACAATACCCAGATGTGTCTCATCCTGAAATTCTATTACCTTTTCTAACCCTCCCTGAAGAATGTCAAGATGGCATTAAGTGCTGGAGGGGCCAGACATGAATCTAAATACCTTAAACTTGTGACACAGGTACCTTCAATGTCCCTACATTATAAGGAAACATGACAGATATGATGGAAGAGTCCCTGGAGGCTGTAGAGGTAGCACACGCTGAATCTAGCCAGCTCTGTAACTCTGAAGAACTGGGGTTGGAACGTGTGAATCGCGGCAATGCTGCCATCGGCCCAGTAGGAAATGGATTTTTCTTATTTCTGCATAAGGAAACCAAGATTCATTCAGGTATGCTGCATGGTCAGCTCAAGACTAGGAGCCTGGTCCCTGTCAGTGCTCCCTCACAGATGTGCTCGGCTTGTATGCACTGGTTGGAACACAGCCCTGCTGACCCCTGCCAGACCTTGGCTCTTAGCCAATGGACCACGTATCCATGTCCTCCTGTGGGCTTCCCCTCCATCTAGAGCATGAATACCCTGCACCTGTCCTCTCTCGGACTCTTGCTGTTGCGCCGAGGACATTTCTTCCCTCACCATGGAGCCAGGTCTGAGGTCCTTTGTTCCATTCTTCCTTGCTTTTCCAAGATCTTCCTAAGCCAGATCCCTTGCTTCCCTAGTCAGGGTGCAGACTTCACAGTCACCTTTGGTCACCTGGCTGCATTCAGTATGCGGTGGGCGTAGAAGGCATGACTCTTGGATGTCCCGGTAGCCAGAAGTCTCGGGATGTTCCTGTTGAATCTATTTTTGGATTAAGGTTGGATGTGGGTTGGTGTCACTGTGAAAGTCCAGGCTGTGCAATGTGCTCTGGGCAAAAGGGTAGAGGCATACAACTCCCTCTTGAGGAGTCGGGAGCATGGAAGGGTGACGCTTTCTAAAGAGTGACAAGGAGAGGTAGTGGTAGGGAAAGACATGTCCTTTAAGTGAGCCTTGACAGGTGAATGCATTTTAAATGAAACTTTAAAAACTTCACAACTCAAGTTCTGAGAAAAATGGGGTTTGGAAGTCCAGAAGACTGATTTGCTCTGAATATTCGAAGAACTTGGCACGGACGGATGGTCATACTCCTAAGTTCGGTGTCTAGAAGAAAGGCAATGCTGCTGGCCAGTGATGGTGACTCGAAGGGCAAGGGGGTCAGTGGGACCTTCATCTACCGACACCACCAGGAACCCAAGCCATGCAGATCAGGCATAATTTAGGATGTTTTCCTGTGATTTAACCAGACTCAGGGAACAACCTTGGCTGTTCCAGATTAGACAAATGGTAACTGAACAGTGCCAGAGCTTGGCATCCCCAAATCACATTTGGGGCTATATTCTATAGCAGTAATTTAATACTAAATGTAGAAGGATCTTGGGTTTAACAAGTGTCTATATAGATAGACACTTGCTCAACTCTGAATATAAATACTAATGATATAAAACTGATGTTCATGTTTCAACCTTTTATGATTTTTGTTCTTTATAATTTTCAAGATGATCTCAGAATTTTCTAAAATGAACTCATATAAAGCTTTCATTTAATAAGAGAGCTATAAAAGTTACATGTGGAAAAATTAAAAATAAGTAGCTTAGTCTCATTTTAAAATAATTTATAAATAATATATCTTGAAGTATGTTGCTATTCCCTAGAGGACTGAGAAAATTACATATTCTGTCTACATATGTTCTTTTGTCATGACCTTGCAATTTAGACTGTAGCTTTAACAAGTAATCTTTTCAGAGGTTTTGAATAGAAACCTTATTTTTTTTAAATTCAAGGATCTGAAGATCTTTGAAGTTCCGAGAGATGGTCATATAGATTTCATGTCTACCAAGTGAGTAATAAATTAAGTGTTGAGTGGTGGGTTACCAGTAAATTGATGGGTTACACCGATTTTTACATCAAGTTTTCTTTCTTTGCTGAAGAAAAATGTCAAATAAATTATTAAACCTTGAGTTCTGAGCCTTACATATCTCATAATTTTAAATCTAATAAGAAATGAGTCTGTAGACTTAGTCAGCAAATCCCCTGGATATAGAGATTGGCAGAAAGCAACTAGAGGAAGTACCCGCACAGAGAGATGAAAAGGGCTCTGATAGGTGATATTGGTGAATTCCTTGGACCTGGAGTAGAATGTCTTTTGTAAAATTGCCGTAAGTAGATAAGATGTGACATTTCTGCCCATCAGAATGAAAAGGGCAAATACTGGACTGTGCTTTTCTTCAAATCCCTATGGGAAATGTTTGGGTGACATGCTGCTACTCAAGGCTAGGTGTGCAGTAGCTGCCCTGTGAGCCGTTGAAATCTGTCACCTGCACAAAAAGAGAGGGTAGCTAACATTTCCGTCTGCAGTGCTGAAGATGGGAGATGCTTAGTTCAGGGGGAAGCATGGGAAGGGGGTGTGGAGGCAGGAGATTGTGAGGCATGGGTTGCTCAGTGGCACTGGGAGAAGGAGGGGACGTGGGGGGAAGTAGACGAATTCAGTGGACAGGATGGGTCACACTTCCTATGAAGGTGTATCACCACTTCCGTTTCCTCCAGGGTGCATCTCATTAGACTCCTAGCTATAACCGATGTGACACAGACCCCTTTCCTGTGCGGAGGTTCACACATAGCTCATGATGCCCCACTGTGCCTGCAAGGACGAGGCCGGGGCACAGGGGTAGGAAGGAAGGGGACCCTGGATGTTCAAATCCTCTTTTCATCAGCATTTCCTCTTTCTCCTGGGAATCAGGGCGAATGGCTCCTGTAGTTCCTTATTTTTTATCTTTGGGTCTTTACTCTTTTGGGAGCTTGCCTCCCACCTCCTCAATAAATACACAGAGTATTATTACTACTTACGAACTTCCAGCCTTGGCTTGGCTTATTTCTGCGTCTGGATGTGTGGCTGGGTGACTGGCCTCTTTATGTGCTCCTTCCTATCTTCCCAGATGTCTCCTTCTAGTCTCTTGGCCTGCCAGCCCCGCCTATCCTTTCTCCTGCCTCGGTATTAGCCATTCAGTTCTTTCTTAGACCATCAGGTATGATAGACAGGCAAAGAATCACAGCTTCACCAAGTTAAACAAATGCAACGTAAAGGAACACGGCGCATCTTTGCATCATTAAACAAATGTTCCACAGCATAAGCGAATGTAACACATCTTAAAATAATATTCTGCAACAAGCGTCACCCGCCTCTGTTATGGTTCTTTATTACAAAGATGCTATAAAGATGAGATGAAAGGTAGTTTGAAGGGACAGAAAGATTCCAAGTTCTGAAGTGTGATGTGCATCAACACGGGGCCATCCTCCGCAGCTGGAGCTGAGGATGCAAAGGTGTGTGTGGCTTTTGTTTATGCCGCATTTGTTCAGCGCTGTGAAGCTGTGATTCCTTGCCTGTCTAAAACATTGGATGCTCTAATAAAGAGCTGAACGGCCAATAGCAAGGCAGGAGAGAGCTAGGAGGAGAAATCTGGGAGAGGGAGGAAGAGGCAAGAGAAATCAAGGAACACGAAAAGAAGGGGTCAACCACCCCGCCATCCAGCCACCCAGCCAGCCACGGAGTAAGAGTGAAAAGATAACAGAAGTAAGAAAAGGGAAAAAGCCCAGAGGCAAAAGGGAGATGGGATGATTTATTTATTTATATTAAAAATTTTTATTTTTCACTTTCCATGTCAACCACAGTTCCCTCTCCCTTCCCTTCACCCACATCCTGCTTGCCCCCTCCTTACCTGCCCCACCCACTCCTCAGAGGGGGTAAGGCCTTCCAGGAGTGTGCACTCACTCTGGGGGTACTTCTGAGGATGTGAACATGAAATCACACAATGTAGAAAGATAAAAACACAATGCAGCAGAGTGAATGATCAGGAAAAAAAAATAAACAGGCGATAAAATGGCTGTTTGTGGAACCAGAGAGGTGATCAGCCATCCAGTAAAACTTGTAGGATTGTCTTTGAGCCGGAACATTGCAGAACTCCAGAGATGGTTAAGGACTTGGAGACTGAAGAGTACAGATGTGCAGTCCTGGTATTCCAAAGCTGCTCTGCATCTCGCACTTTCCTCGGTCCCAGGCATCATGCTGGTTCTGGTTAGCCAGTAAACGAAGGTTCTTCTTTACCTTCCTAACAATCCTGCCCAACTCTGGTTGTTCCAGAAAACAGGGAATTCCTATTTTCACCCCCTTCCCGCAAACACTGAAAACTTAATTCTCATTTACTCAGTGTATTGTCTCTCCTTGAGCTCAATATAATGGTTGACTCCTATGTGGGCAGATAAAGTCAACATTGACAGCTCTAGCCTGAGGCGCCACATGGTCAGCGGAGGTGGGCATGAACCACTCAGCTCTGAGGGTCCCATGTGGTCAGGCGTGTTAGACATGGCCCACTCAGATGTGAGAGCCCCAAATGATCAGAGGAGGTGGACATGGAGAGGCCACGCCTGAGCAATCGGGGCAGAAGGCTATGGCGCACTCAGGTCTGAGGGTCCTCTGTGGTCAGGATAAGTGTGTGTGGCCCACTCGGGTCTGAGGGTACCATGTGGACAGCAGAGGTGGGCATGGATTGCTCAGGTGTTAGGATCCCATGTGGTCAGGGCAGGATGATATGGCCCGCTCAGGTCTTCGAGTCCTAAGAAGTGTGCATCTAATGGCTCCTGGGGACACTGTGACAACACAGCTTTCCTGTTTCCCTTGAGTCTCATTTAAACTTTTCTCTGAATCCCATTAAGTAGCAGGGAACTCAGATAGGGAAGCAGGCTTTGCCTCGTTCTCAGATTCCCACCTCAAACAGCTGTTTCCCTTCTCCTGTGGATGGATGGTGTGCAGCTTGCTGGAGGGTGGGTATGGGGTCCCTTGTGTTTGCTGTGTGCCTGTGCTGTTAGGATGTTTCTGTTGCCTTGAATTGTACAGTTGCCCCATGGACATCCCCCCTTCCTTCCCCTCCCTCCCTCCCTCCCTCCCTCCGTCTCTCTCCCCCTCCCTCCCTCCCCATCCCTTCCTCCCTCCTTCCCTCACTCATTCCCTCCTTCCCTCCCTCCCTCTCTCCCTCACTCATTCCCTCCTTCCCTCCCTCTCTTCCTCCCTCTCTCTCTTTCCCTCCCTCCCTCCCTCTGTCTCTCTCCCCCTCCCTCCCTCTCTCCCTCCCTCCCTCCCCATCCCTTCCTCCCCTTCCCTCCCTCCTTCCCTCCCTCCCTCCTTCCCTCCCTCTCTCTCTTTCCCTCCCTCCCTCCCTCTGTCTCTCTCCCCCTCCCTCCCTCTCTCCCTCCCTCCCCATCCCTTCCTCCCCATCTCTTCCTCCCCTTCCCTCCCTCCTTCCCTCCCTCCCTCCTTCCCTCCCTCTCTCTCTTTCCCTCCCTCCCTCCCTCTGTCTCTCTCTGTCTCTGTCTCTGTCTCTGTCTCTCTCTCTCTCTCTCTGAGAATGCCACAAATAATACTACTGTGAATCCTTCGTGAGTCTGCTGTGTGCAGCAGCATGAGGGGGTTTCCAGACTCAGGTATGCATACTCTGGCCTTGGTGCCATCCCTGCACATGCCCAGTGACAGGCTCAGGAGCTCAAGTGTCTCTGTGAACACCCTTGTGTGAGCCGCTTTGGATGGTGTGTGGTGCTGTCTGTCACACGTGGTCCTCAGTGCATCTGCGTGAGACCAGCTTCTCCCGTCTTTATGTCCCTTTGAGAGGAGACGTCCGATCGTGCCTGGCTAGGCTGTATGCAGACGTTCCTATCATGTTAGTTGTTTTTAATGTGTTCCCAATGGGGGGGGGGGTTAAATGCAGTTTGTGCCGCTGTCCTCACTCTCAGGTTGCCTTTGTATCCTTCCAATGGCGTCTTTGGTGACAGATTCAAAATGCCATTCGGCAGAGTTCCTCTATATTGTCCTTTACAGTTGGATCTTTTGAGGCTTTAGGATCCGTGTTCTTTGCCCTTAGATTCACACCTGTGATATCTCTGGACTTCTGTGTTTGAAATATGTGAGTATATATGTATTAGTATGTGTAGTGAGAAAGTGTATGTGTTGAGTGTGCATGTGTGTGTGTGATGGTCATGGGATAAAGTGTGTGTGCTGAATGTATGGCGTGTGGGGGGTGGTCTATGTGATGAGTGTATGTGTCTGTGTGTGGAAAATATGTGTGTGCATTGTGAGATTTTGTGTGTGTGTGTGTGTGTGTGTGTGTGTGTGTGTGTGTGTCCGGTGCCTTAGGCAGGCCAGGTAAAACAACACATCCTTACATAATTAAACAAATGAAACACCTCTTTGCACAGTTAAACAAATGCAGCACACATTGTTTGCATAGTTAAAGAAATATTCCACAACAGACTGGTTCTGTTAGTATGTCCATCTTGGTTGTAGTGGACAGGACACCAGCATTGGGCTAAGTAGAGATCACTATGCTGGATGTCAAGTTGTGGTCCTGAGTTCAGGTAGGACTCCTCCCAGATCTTCTGTAAGAAGGATTTCTATCCCACAGTTGTGTGTATGTATA